CTCAACATGCATTTCGTTTAGTGGTGTCTCAAAATTAATTTTAGTAAAGATAATAGATCACACAAGCACATCAAGCTATTTTTACAACCAGATCCATTAATTACAAGTCTGCGAAAAAGACCGAAGAAAAATTCAGCCCAAATAATAAAAAAAGCGAGGTATTGGCATTATTACAACCACCGGATTCATTTAACAAATAGTGACAATTAAGGACAACTGATTTCTAAATACTTCAACTTAAGAGATAGTTTAATCTTTAAACCGTTACTGCTTCTGCAATTTAAAAAGTTTAACGAATAAAAATTATACATAACTGACAGGTTTCCTTATTAGTAGAGATACTTGTAACGGTTTACAAAAGGTGAAATTAAAAAAAATCATCGAATATCATGTCTTCAGTTTTCTGGTATATGTTAGACAATGACATGAACTAGCAAAAGAGACAAAGTCCACCTGCCCTTAGCTGCCCCTACGAGAATCCCACTTACCTAAAATAGAGGCAAAATATAATGTTTTTCGAGAATAATTCACTAAAACCACTATAAATTCCACAAATAGTGCAATGAAAATTTGCACCTAGTTTGTTTTCGTTGGAATAAATGCAGAAACCAGAGCAAACATATGAAAATATACAAAAAAATTACAAATAAGAATTTTGGCATCATATTTTTCAATACACCCTATATCTCATGGAAGTTTTATGTCTTCTGCAACTTTCCTTCATTTTAATAGATAAAAAACTTTGTTGAGAACACCATTCGTCTAGGATGCTTTATTCAAAAGTTAGATTCGCGCGCCATCTCTACGACCAAGTTGCGAACTAATTAATTTATTCAGAAGAAGCGCTTAACTAATACAAACAACTTTACCGAAGACAGTATTCTGATTGGATGCTTTGTTCAAAAGTTATTAATTTTTTCCGAGAAAATCACTGATCTGCCCCAGTGTGCGGAGTATGCATGAAAGAAATAATTCGGTCGGTAAATGTGTCTGAAAGAACAGTGTATAATATTAAAAAAGGCTTGGGAAAGTGATAAGACGGAGCACCTGCTCATACTGCAAATAAAGCACAGAAATGGCTTACGGAAAATATTTCGTAAATTTGGGAGGAAGAAATTTGGCCCCCAAGCAGTCCCGATATCAATCCGTTGGATTATTTTGTATAGGGCGTCGTCCAACGGGATACCAATAGAACCCCTCACACCACACTTAATGCCTTGTTCAGACTACAGAGTTATAACATGTTATAGCGCTATCTTGATGGTGGTTTCTGTGTTGCAATTAGTTGACAACCGTTATAACATGTTATAACTCTCCAGTCTGGACAGCGTTTAAGTCGCTAAAAGCTAAAATCAAGGCAGTGATGACATCTATGGATCGAAACATTTTAAAACGTGCATACTGCAGTTTCCGGAAGCGTCTAACTACAGTCGTCGAAAGGGAAGGCAATTTTTTTGAATAAATTTACTTACAACTTCCATATGTTGCGAAAGAAAATAAATCGCACAAAATTCATTGCTAGAATAACTAACTGGCGTATTTTTTCTCAAATATGCCATTTACTGCAAAAATTCGTCACGCACCCTGTATAGGAGGGTAATCACTGTGCCTGTCCCGTTTAAAAGTAAAACGTACATCATCATGCTACAATCAGACAGTGATACAATCTATAAATCAGGAAAGATTCGACCTAAAATTCCCACCGGCGATATTTGTTTGGGTATCCCCCCCCCCCCATTTGGAGGAAATGACACATAGTACTAGATTTGTGCTGTAAAGAAATCGAAAATCCATCTCCCACCCAATCATCCTTTCACATATTACCATATTGTGCGCAGTTAAGATGTTTTTGAGATTTAAACATTACATTAGACATTTTAAAATGACATTTAAATTAATTATTTAGTAGAATGTATTGATAATATCTATAACAATCGAAACAATATATTAATATTATAGGTAAACCGATCATTGTGTCAAAAGCGATCATTGTATACACCGATATTGGGTGCCTAATTATGCGCACTTTATTGCGCATGTTCCTAACATCCTTTTTTTTCTTTGGTTTGTTTTTTTCCGTGCTGAGCACCAAAGCTACCGACGTGCCAGGAAGGCAGCTCCCACACCTGGACCCTACCTATCGACCCATCAACTCATGAACCGGGGACCAACGGCTTTACTTCCCATCCGAAGGAAGGCATGATCAGAGATGTTATGCCTCAGAACATCCCGGCGGCGCCGACTGGGATTGAACCCAGGCCTGCTGGTGTGAGAGGTAATCACGCTTACCACTACACCACCGGCAAACAAAATATAATTACACTTTATATTGAATAATTTTACAGGTTCTTTTGTGGGTACAAGTCGAATTGATGTTTTATCCACATTGAAAATTCGGGTCGGATGCTTAATGGCATCTTTCAAGTTAGCTTGTTCAATATGCCGGTCGACTTCTTCAAACTAGCTCCTAATTTTACCTTCAGTGACATACGTCTGCTGTTTCGAAAGACCCCTGGGATTCTTCGGGAAATGTTGGGATGCCGTTTCAAAAATAGTGTTAACCATTTTCGACCAGGAGCATGCGTTTTATGGAAACTTGAATGTCCTGTGGATTTAAGATAATATGCGACCGAAGTTTTCAGACGGGGAGTCCACCGGGAAGCCAGCCCTAGCCATCTCGATTATCCACTGGATGATGCGGTCCTCCTCTTGCTTATTTAAAACGGTTGGTCTTACTTCCGAAGTGCCAAGGGCAATTTTTTTTACGAAGAGTGCTCTCAGGGATTCCATGGACTTTTGTGACTCGACGAACCGAAAATCCTCTTCTGACCATATCCATGGACAGAACCATGTGATTTTGGTTGTACTGCACATTCTTCCGGCCACGATTCATCTTGAAGCACTCTGCGCATGATTAGGAACATAAATAAAAACAATGGTGCCTAATTCTGCGCAATAGTAAATCGTAATTTTGCACAAAAATTATGTATGTAACCGCTAGTTTTTGAGTAGGATACGATTAATGCAAATATATCTTACCAACTGCGGTAAATATTCCAATACTGGGTTTCACTTCGAAATTTAAAACAACACTTCGAACGCGGTGCAAACGTTCAAGCTAACGGAGCTGATTTTTTAACGTTTTCAGTGTTGTAGATTGTATTTTTTTAAATTTTGTCTCTTAATTTCTGTAAAATGCAAATCATATTGTGAATTCAGATATGTTATTCAACAGTGATTCAAAGAAAAATAATATTGTGGTGATAACAATGAGTAATGTTCGTAAAATGTAGAAAGAATGCTTGAAATGCGCACAATTAGGAACTGCGCACAATAAGGGGCGGTCACTACCAAATTGATATTTTAAAGCAACCATCAAAATAAACAGACTAGTTGCCAGTTGCTTTAAAGGCTAGTTGCCTCCCTAAGCGGGAGTTAATCTACTCAATGTTATTAGGCTGTCTAAATTTTCTTATTTAAGTTCGTTTGATGATTAGGACATCTCATCAGCCTAATTTAATAAATAATTGAAATCTTTAATCTACCTAATCAATTATAACCCATGCTTTATTGAGTACCTGCACCTGTGTATGTAATCTAAAATTTAACGTGTATCAAGTGTCTTTGCCTTTGACCTATATTTATTATATATTAGTTCGACCCAGATGACACCTTCAAGTGACTAAAATGCTTCACTTTGAAGATAGTTTCCTAGCTGATTTTTAAATTATTTAGGGTATATACTCCAACTACACTCACACGTTTCCACTATGCCATCCCACAAAATTACGTATGGATATATCACAATAGAAGCACGCCACAGTGGAAATTCCGAGCCATAGTTCAAACAGTTATCCCAAATCAAAATGAAGCACATATAAGATTAGTTACAATACCATGTACAAAAATGGTGTTCAAGATTGTTCCCTGAGTAATACCTCAATGAAAACAACTATGAAAGTTTGTCACGCAAGTAAAAGGAGCACCATTGGGCACCTTCTGAAATATTTCAATAGTATAATTCCCCTGCAAACCCAAACAAATCTATCTGCGTAAAAAAAATAAGAGTGATCTGCGGCAAAACCCGCCAGTATCGCAACCAACGTCAGTGCCTATACGTAAGCGTACTACAACGCGGCTCTCAAACAAAGGAGTAACAAGTGTGATACTATCAATTTAAACTAGAACTTTGGTTTTTCATGCTCATGAGGGGAAGCTCAGTAATCCTCATCGAATGCTCATGACGCTATTCTGCCACGACATGAGCCAACGATGCCGAACCTAAACCAACCGTTTCCAACGTTCCACTATGAAGCATAAGATTAGGCACGCCCACCAACGTCCAGGTTAAAAACTAGCCAAGGGGAGGGAGTAACCAATTCCATAGATTTATCATTAAAAATTATTTGGCATTCAAGTCAGAACTCTCCTGGAATTATTTCCCTAGTTCCTATGAAGTTTTCCTGGAATTATTTTAGGATTTAATTGTAATCCTCCTTTTAGCATACTCCCGAAGTATTCTCCAAAAACTCCCTTGGAATTATACTTCGAATTCTATTTCTCCCAGAAACTTCTTGACATTGTCCTCAGAATTCCTTTGGAATTCTTCTTTGAAAAAACAGATTTTCTAAAGCCGTGAAGGGACTATTCATAAGTCACGGCGAGTGTCAACGGTTCTGCAAATTTTGGAAATTTGTCCACGCTGGGGGGAGGGGTGCATACAGATTCATCAGTTTCAAATTTACTAAACCGACGAAGCTCTGTGTCCATCATCGCTCGTCGATCGATGCAGATTTCCCAAAAACAGACATCAATGAATCAATGATTTCTGTTTGAACGCTGATTTGCTTTCAGTGACAATCAATGTTCACGTTACATCCACATTTCGCATCGTTTGAGAACCATCACATTCCGTTAGACGAGTGCCGCCAACGTAGTTATGTAGTTAGCGTCGTAGCACATTAATGCAACATTGGGGGAAGGCTCTTAAAAAGACTTACTTGTCCGCTCATGCTGGAAACGCGTCCTCCGTACTGCAGTTTCGGCGGTGGCAGCACGCGACCCCGCACCTCCATCATGCTGTTTGAGATCGCCAGTCCGAATTCCTGTACGTACGCATCGTTGTTGAAATCGGCACGGCGCACGAGATTGTTGATTTCACGTTCACTAAAAAAAAAAAGAGCACGAGAGTTATGCAAAACAATCTAGAAATATTCTGGGATTGGGTGGTAGTATTTAACTAACCGATCTGGAGCTGATCTGGCCGTGGCCTTGATCATGGTCGAAGTTTGCATATCGGTGAGTTTCTTGATGCACCGCTGGCCGGCGACAATGTTGCACACCTCCAACGGTAGGTAGGTGTGTTTGTGCTCTTGACCGACCTGCAGGCAGGGTAGATGAGGATAACGAAGCTTCATCTTATACTTGTCGAGGAAGTATTTGGCCACGGTGCATTCCACGGTTTGTCCGTTCTCCAATTGCAGAGGGAAACTGCGGACAAACAAAAAAAGAGATACGCGTTAATGTTTGCCACCGACAGGCTTTAAAATGTGAGGACAAATCTTACGATTGCATTTGTGCTGGTCGACGAGTGACGTTACAGACGCGATACTTCCGGCGCATTGTACCGCAGTGGGTGATTTCGATCTTGAGTCCCTTGATTTCCTTGGTGAATTTGACACGCTGGGAATCGGTGAGCGGTTTACGTTGCTCGTTGATGTCCCTGATGTCCAGCACCTCGCACATGAACTCGATCACCGGTTGTGCCTTGTAGAATGCCGTAGCCGATACTGATAGAAAAGACGGTGTTAGCCGAATAAAGAACGGTGGCTCAATGAAGCCAGTAGGATTCACTTACCATCAATGTTTAACATCATCTTCCATTGCGACGGACGGACGCTTTGATGGAAACCGAACCATACCTCACGACCTCCTCCGAGGGGATGATAATAGCTGCAATTGGAGAGGGTGTAACTTAGGTTTGAAATTCTTGCGCCAATGAAAGAGAGATCCAACTCACCCATCTGGCGAACTGAAGAAACTTCTGCCAACCGGTGTGTATGTCATACTCGGTAGATGTCGCATCACCACGTCCAGTGCGAGGATCGCATCGTACGGAATCTGCCGCGTGCGTCCTTCGAGTGCTTCCTCCAGGTTGAAGAGCGACACCTGGGCCACCCATTTGATGGTGACGCGGAACACACGATCCTTGCCCTCGCCCGGTAGCGTAACCTCCAGTTCGACCCGATCGTTGCCAATTGGCAGAGGATCCCGCGTGTACAGATTGTTACGTCCATCGAATACCGGCTTCAACGCTCCGAACATCTTACTGTACGCATGCACCATCGTCTCGATGATCTCCCGATTGACCTTCCGAGGACACTTGTCCGGCTGGATGTTGATGTCGTAGTGATGCACGAAGCCCCGAGGCATCGTAATCTGGAAGTGGTTGGCACGCAGCACGATCGGTCGACCCTCGCGCCCAAGGTTCGGCCGACGGGGACAGGTAAATACGGGCAGATCCGGTGGAGCCGGTGGCGTTGCCGGGACCACCCCGAGGGCACTGGTGGCCACATTCGGCGCTCCGGCAGTGGTCGACACCGGCGTTGGGTTCACTGTGGCACCAGCTGGAGGAGCTGCTGTTTGAGCGGTGTTTTTTTAATTTGTTCCAATTATTTTTTTTTTTTTTTTGGTTTTTTGGGAAATCAATTTTGGTTCGTAATTTTGTTATTTTGATCGTTGGCAACAGTAGCGAAATAACAAAACGCAACCGGGATTTGTTTTTAATTTCGTATCAAACGAATCATACCAAAACGGGAACAAGTTAATCGAATGTGAGATGTGGATGTGGAAAAGAAAAGTAAAACAAAAAAGAAAACGAAATGACATTAAAATATATTCATGGCTTGAACAGGTTCTCGATGCTTTGCTGATACAGGCGATGGTAAATCTCAATCCGTTAGTAATAGTTAGCATTTGCTAGTTCTCCTCGATCAAGCTATTTACATTTAACGCCCTTGAGCTACTACAGAAAAAAAAACTTTCCTATTTTTGAACCTAGTTCTGTGTTCTTTTGTTTTGTTTTATTTACCTGTTATCGGTCCTATCTGATCGGTAGAAACTAATAGAAAATGATAGATAAGAATAATAAAATGATAAAAAATAAATGAAAAAGAGTATACTTTATGACTGCGTGAATCAGAAATTTACATGGTGTTGTCGTAAGAATGGCTCATTATTTGAATGCTATGTTGTAGTTTTAAATGTTGTTAAATTGGAAAAGAAAACGAGATTTTCAAGCTCAATATTTCATTTCAATCTGTAAACCTATATAAGCATAACGCCTGTAGGGTCGTCATCGATTATTTGTGAATCACTCTGTTCCACCTTCGCCTTCATTATAATAACGAGCAACAGTACGTAATGACGTCAAGTGTACCTACACGTTCTTCGTTCAAACTTCGATAGGTTAACAACAAGCGGCTTATTACCTGTCCATTCCCGGCAAATGTCGCGCCATTCGTACTCCGGATCAAAAGCGCTGACGGTCGCCGTTGTCGTCATTGTCGTATCGGCACCAGTTGAGTCCATTGTCGTTATGCTCGGAGCCGTATCTGCGCAGATGAAGCGTAAAATGCGTTACTTTAGGGTTCGGGAACAGACGAATTGTACGTGGTGGGGCATGCAGGTGTGATGTTGTCACTTGGAACTGTATAATTTCCGCTTGGTAACGGGAAGAAGGTGTAAATTGCGGATGCATAATTCTGTTGAAGAAAAAGAAGTAACATCAGGATCGTAGTAGGCATCTATAATTTTATATGACATTACCCCCGAACGTCGTTGCACCGAAAGGTACATTTTCATGAATCTATTACGAAAAAAATTATAAATATTCAAAGGAAGTAGGGTAAATGTCGGCTTCGGCACCCATTGACTGTTTTCGGCAACCAAAATTTAAACGATAATTTCACTATGTTTTCCCATCAACACACTGAATGTATCCAAACGATTCTTAAGTCTTTCAGCTTCAATCTGATTATATTTGTACGACCAAGCAATCCTATTATGCCAGATTTTTCTTCAAATGACGCATACGCACTACAAAATGGGTTGATTTTGAGTTGCTGATAATAGAACAGCTGGTTAACACGCAGTTCTAATGGGAAGGTTGCCCAAGAAAAAGAGGCTGCCGACAATAGTCACACTCACCTGAGAAGTAAATTCTGTCGATTGGAATGGATAGAGAAGCAAGCAGCAGATGAATGTAAACAAACAGATACGTCATATATGTGTGTGACGCTGAAAAAATGCTAATAGAAGTGCGGACGCTGCTTAGATTGACGAGAATACGTAAATTCTCCTATTCCCTGAGTGACAATCGAGGCTATGTCATAGCCAAGGTGTCCCACACTGAAAAAAGTTTTCATATAGTTTCCATTGGGAACGCACATGATATTTTTCCAATAACAACATTAATTATTTTTACCTGTAATTCACATAAAATTCATATGATCACATGAATTCTATGTGATAAATCACATAAACTTCATTGGACACATAAGATTTATCTGATTTCGTGGTGCGATTCCCAATTATGAGATCACATGAAAGTTATGGGAAATTCTAATGGATATTTTCCATCGAAAATGTGATTTATTTTTTGAGTGCACCTCTAGAGTTAACGAGTTTACTACATACACAAAAACTTACACTGAGGCAAATAAACATAAGAATTTCATAAGGCTAGACGTATGAACGACACATATGAATTTCATAAGCGTGACTTATGAACGATGTTCAAGGTACCCGCATAAACGCGAACCATAAATTGACCTTACCTAAAATGGTTAAAAATTGTTTATAATCCCTGCTAAACTTTAACTGAAATGGTTATGGAACTTTACATGAACGTTTAATGATAAAGTTTCAACCTTATGTATTATGGTTTTTTGGAACTGGACCTTACAAATAATGGGTTGTTAAGAACCATTACCGTTCCAAATTCTTGTTTTCTCCATACATTTTCGGAAAGAGAACTATATTAGAACCTTTTAACTTATGGTTTGAGAACTTTAATGGTAATGGTTATGGTAGTCAGTAAGGTCCACGAATGGTTTTGTAACATCGATCAACTTTATGTGAAATATATCGCGAATTGGTTGCCTGTAATTTACTGATTACCAATTCACGATATATTCCACGTAAAGTTGAGCGATAATACAAAACCATTAATGGACCTTACTGACTACCATAACCATTACCATTAATGTTCTCAAATCATAAGTAAAAACGTTCTTATATAGTTCTCTTTCTGAAAATGTATGGAGAAAACAAGAATTTGGAATGGTAATGGTTCTTAACAACCCATTATTTGTAAGGTCCAGTTCCAAAAAACCATAATACATAAGGTTGAAACTTTATCATTAAACGTTCATGTATAGTTCCATAACCATTTCAGTTAAAGTTTAGCAGGGATTATAAACAATTTTTAACCATTTTAGGTAAGGTCAATTTATGGTTCGCGTTTATGCGGGTAGCTCTTGTACGCCTTTAACCATTTCATTTTCCCAGGCGTTGAAAGACGAGTGGTCATGGGTCCAATAATCTCAACATCCATGATTCGGTTGCAGTCTGCTCCGTTTTAGTATTTTTTTCAACTGAAATTCATACCGACTATTTGTGGTTAAAATTCATAAGTAGTTCTTATGGAATTCTTACGTTCGATTTGCCTCAGTGTACGTATAAAGAATTATCATATAATTTACTCATTACTCAAACATTTGGCGAATCCCAGGCTGGCTCTCGTGAGGACCGATCTACAAACGGACCGGACAAACGCTGCTTGATTGATCAATTCTCCAGCAATTGAAAAGGGCCTATCAGCTTGGGAAAACAAAACTGTATGTAAGCCCTTTCCTCGCAAACCAACGACAGGCTTCAGTACGCTGGGCATGTAGTACGGATGCCGGAAGACCAACAAGACCTCGTCCAGTCGAGGTCATCGACTCCGTGGCAGACCTCGTTCATGTTATTTTTTAGTTTTTAGTTACTCCGGAGTAATGGACCGAAGTGAGCTGGGTTTAGACAAGGTAAATCAATTGATGAACTCATTAGAATTTGTTTTCAAGACAATTGAATGCAACTGAGTTGATCAATTGACTTGCCTTGTCTAAACCCAGCTTAAAAGCGGCGACGAAAGAATGTCCTGCATTAGCTTCAACAACCGTACAGGCTTCTGGCTAGACTCGGAAAGTTCAACGTACTCAGCTTCTGTTGATGACAGGCTGCTTCCTAGCGGCTCAGCTGATTGGACCACTTCCGAGCTTGAAAACGACCCCGGAATTGGAGTTTCGATCCACCTTGTTACCAGTCCAGTCTCTGCATCAATGAATCCTTGAAGACCACCGACTCCACCAAGCTCAAGCTATAAATCAGTTCTTGCGTCGAGGTACCGTAGAGTTCGCTTCACATTGATTCCAATCTGCTTCGATAGGTTGACTGACTATTCGTCCATTGCAGTATCGGGTCTAGTAAGCACCGCAACGTACTGCAAAGCACCGAGTAGACTCTGCTAGCGCACAACTATGGGGAATCTCCATACAAGCAGGCGGCCAAAAATATGTTCTTGTGCTCATTCCGCATTGTTTGGCATGTTTTGTATTAGTAGACCTGTGTCTTACATTAGTCATTAAACTTCTTTTTGAAATGGTCAAATCTTCCAGGTTCTTCAAAATGTCCTGGAAAATCACCCGAATCGCACTTTTAAAGCATCATAACTTTTGACAGTTACCATTTATCGATCCCAAATGTTGTGACTTGTTATGAAAAACTCAATTTCTCCGTTCTGACCGAAATTGTTGGACGTTTCAGAAGGGCTCCACAAAAAAAGTTACGTTTAAGGTGTTCGGGCTATATTGAGAAGGATTTGACCCGAACACCGTAGGAAGGTTAATGTTTTGAAAATAGCTCGAATACACCAAACCGCAAACCGACGCATCGTCGTTGTCGGAGGCATTTTCCTACCAAATTATTTGCACCCAAAATAATCTTTAGGGCTTAAATTTGGTGAATCACAAATCTAGGATAGGCCGGAATTGACCACTCAGAATCGGTGTCGGAATGAGCAAAGTTTGGTCAATTTGGTACTTCACATTTTGCATTTCAAAAGGCTGAATATTTTGTAACTGTTGCAATCAAAGGGTACACCCCTGCCTATGTGTACAGTCCAGGGAAATATAGGCTATCCGATGACCATTGAACAGGATCCGGTGGTTCCGAAACAGGTTCCGGAGTCTCGTAAATGTGGTCTATTTATAATTTTCATAGGGCCAAGTCGTGCGGCACCTCAAAATTCGCAGAATTTTATGAAGAATTCATCAGAGGCCATGTCAACTGTCTTAAGCAACATTGACCACCTGGTGGTCCTGGAACAGGTTCCGGTTAATGTGGCCAATCTATCACTTCCATAGAAGCAAGCCGTGTGGCACATCAAAATTTGCAGAATTTCACGAAGAATTCATCAGAGGCCAAGTTAAAATGTCCGGGGCAATATTGGTCATCCGATGGTCTCGAAAAAGGTTCCTTGGAACCTTGGAAAGGTGGCCAATTCATAATTTTCATAGAATCATTTCGTGCGACACCTCAAAATTCGCAGAATTTCATGAAGAATTCATCAGAGACCGTGCCAACATGTCCAGGGGTACATTGGCCGTCCGGGGGTCTAAGAAGATGTTCCAAGAACTGTGAAAAGGTGGCATATTTATGATTTTCATAAAACCAACTCGAGCGACATTTCAAAATTTGCAGAATTTCATGGAGTGGTCTCGAAACAGGTTCCGACAGCAGGCGCCGATGTGGCTAGTTTATTATTTTTACAAAACCAAGTCGTGCACCTAAAAATTTGCAGAATTTCACAAAGAATTCATCAGAGGCCATGTCAACATGGGCTATTCGGTGGTTTTGGAACAGGTTCCGGGAACCCCACAAAGGTGGCCAATTCAATTCATGTGACATCTTAAAATTCGGAGAATTTCATCAGATGCATTCCAAAATATTCGGGCAACATTGGCCATCCGGTGGTCTCGGAACCGGTTCCGGAAACCCTGGAAATATGTCCAATTTATAATTTTCATAAAATCAATTCGTCCGACACCTCAACATGCGCAGAATTTCATGGAGAATTCATCAGAGACTATGTGTTCGAAATTTGCCACCTGGCGGTTCCGGAACAGGTTCCGAAGGCACGGTAGATGTGACTAGTTTATCATGTTCATAGAACCACCAAGTCAAGCGGCACTTCAAAATTTGCAGAATTTCATGAAAAAATCATCAGAGGCCATGTTAACATGCCAGGAACAACATTGACCATGGTGGTCTCAGACGCGGTTCCGGGAACCCCTGAAAGGTAGCCAATTTATAATTTTCATAGAATCATTTCGTGCGACACCTCGCAATTTGCAGAATTTCATGAAGAATTCATCTGAGGCCATGTCAAAATGTCCGGGGCAATAATGGTCATCCGATGGTCTCGGAATAGGCTCCTTGGAACCCCGGAAAGGTGGCCAATTCATAATTTTCATAGAATCATTTCGTGCGACACTTCAAAATTCGCAGA